GTGATTACCTGCACTGATAGCTTGCATCTAAGGCTGTCTCTGAGTCATTATTGAACCAGCTTTGCTCCCACTCCAGCCTTTCTCAGGACTCTCCTCAAGCTAAAGTGAACCTCAACAAGAAGTGCCCAAACAGCAGGCTGAAGTAAGGGAAGAGAAATATGTATTTAGCACAGGTACAGTTTGGGAAGTCTTTTACTCAAGGTGCCACAGACGTCCTGGAAAAAGACAGAGATTGGTAAAGACGAGTGAATAATCATGGGACAGACAAACTCTAAGCAGAGAGCTCTGTATTATGAAATATTAAGGGGAGCTATGGAAAAGAAAGGCATTACTTTCCATATTGATTCCCTTCATGAGATTATGAATTTTATTCAAGAAGTTAGCCCTTTGTTTCCTGAGGAAAGAATGTTAAGTGTAGATAGTTGGCAAAGGATGGAGAGAGATATACAAGCTTGGTTTCAAGAATATGAACCAGAAAATGTGGTACATTTACACAAAGGAATACTACTCATTATTTAAATCAATGACTTCATGAGTTTTTAAAGCAAATGGATGGAACTAGAACATATCATCTTGAGTGGGGTAACCCAGACACAAAGGGACATACACAGCTATTAGGCCAGAAGCTCTGAATATCCATGATACAACTCACAGACCATATGAAGCTCAACAAGAAGGAAGGCCAAAATGTGGATGCTTCAATTTCACTTAGAAATGGGAACAATATAATCATAGGAGATAGAGAGATGGTGGTTCTGTGTGGGAGAGGGGAAGGGAAGGGGGAAAAAAGTGGGGCAAGTTCAAGTATGGGCATAGACAGGCGAGAAGTCCAGAAGGACAGGAGAAATTTATAGCAGTGGGGGTAGGGGCGGGAACCACTAGAACATCCCAGATAACAGATGCTAGAGGTTATCATGACCCAATGGGCATGACATTAGCCAAAATACCCAACAGAGGGAAGATAGAACCTGAAGAGATCACCTGCTGAAAATAGGCATGACCCCCGGTTGAGGAAATGGGCCACTCATCCATCTCAAATTTTTAACCCAGAATTATTCCTGTGTAAAGGAAATGCAGGGATAAAAAAAAGTGGAGTGGAGACTGAAGGAGAGACTGGAGAGTGTGAAGCAGAGATCGCTCCACCTTGGGATTCATCCTGCTACAGACATCAAACCCTCAACACTATTACTGATGCCAAGTAGCACTTGCAGACAAGAGCCTAGTATGGCAGTCTTCTAAGAGGCTCTGCTAGCACCTGACTAAAACAGGTGCACTACTCACTGACAACCATTGGACTGAGCCTAGGCACTCCAATGGAAGAGTTAGGGGAAGGACTCAAGGAGCTGAAGGCAATTTGCAACTCCACAGGAAGAACAGCAGTATCAACTAACCAGACCCCTCAAAGCTCCCAGGGACTAAACCACCAACCAAAAAGTATATATGGGTGAGTCCATGACTTCAGCTACAACATATGTATGTCTTATTTGGCATCAGTGGGAAGGGAGGTGCTTGCTCCTGTGGAGGCTTGTTGCCCTAGCAAAGAGGAATGCTAGAGGGATGAGGTGGGAGTTTTTGGGTAGGTAGGGGTGTACCCTCTTAAAGGCAAAAGGGAGGGAGCATGGCAGAGGGTTTTCAGAGGGGACACCAGGAAGTGGGACAACATTTGAAACGTAAATAAATAAGATACACAATTTTAAAAGATACTAGGCAACTGCAAAAGATATATTTTGTCTTGACATTCAGTTCCTCCATATAAGAATACAATGATACAAATAAAAGTTTTTGTTTTCATGTATGCATCAAGGTGTCTACTGAATTTGTCTGGATTATTTTTATTATCTTATCTTGTGTTTTTCTATTGCTCTATGTTGCCTTTGTGTTGTATTTGTGTTTTAAGTTTTGCTACAGAAATGTGAATTCAAAGGGAGCACAGCTAAACTGCTCTTGAGCTCCATTGAACATTTTCAGGATTTCATGAGGTAGACTGCTCCAACAACTGCCTGCATGTTCCTAGACCCAGATGATTCTGTAGAATCTGGACAATGAATGAAACAAACTTCTCATCTAGGACTTGGTCAACCTACTAGCCTTTTGGAACCAAAGAAGAAACATAAAGCTAAGATACCAATTTGCTGTACACTATAAAAATATCTAATGCATTGAATATGCTAAAAGATTTATAACAGTGAATTTTTAATAATTGATATTATTACCTTTTATCACATAAAATACTATTATAATTTTAATAATTAATTATTGATAATAAATTGATAAGTAATTAATTATTATTTCAGTGTATACCTGAATCAATTAATATTGTTGGGGCTGTTGCTATGTATACTACATCTCTACTTTAGTAAGTACAAAATATATGTTATGATAATTTACAGTAATTAATTATTAATAATAGATTGGTAATTACTAATAATTCTGAGTATTACAGAAATATTTAATATTGTTGAGGCTGTAGCTATGTCTACTACAACTCTAATTTAATGCATATGTACCACTCATCATGTGGATCAGTTATTAAAAAGTGTTTTAATAGCCTTACTGTTATTAGAGAAAATTGACAGTGGTCTTCAGGGTAGACTTAATGCTCTAGAGGAAGCAACACTTGTTATGGGAAAACATGTTAAAAACATTAAGATTAGGATCTCACTTCAATATTACTCATCATTCTTTTGCCTTTTACTACTTTAGAACATAATGTTTCTGAGTATGAATGGAATAAGATCCTGTGTCACCTTTGAAGATTATGTAATAATACTTAATTGTCTATTGAAAGGGACAATCTGTATTGAAGTATATTTGAGATTGGTAACACACATACTGGGTCTACTTGCCTGGAGGAAGTGATTGCTGCCTTTGCTTCTGCAGTGCATGAACACATCCCTTCATCCTCCTGGATTACTCTGTTGTTTAATGGTAGAATTGCTTTGGGGTTACTTCTCCTTGTATTGTTCTTCCACTCTTCATCAAGCAGATCTGGAACACAGTAAATTTACTTACTAAGGATGTTTGCACTCTCAAATTAAAATAAAAGGTGGGAAATGCCAGATGCCTCATGACTGCATACGGAGGGGTGTGACACATTTCCTACCCCTGGAGCATCTCCAGGCCATTGGGCCCCATAATCCTCACATGTACTGATAGTTGCTGTTGCCCTAAAGCTGATCTCCTGTCTTTACTACTCTACTTTCAATCTTTCTCTCTAGGGAATATACTTCTCCCATTACTCAGAGCTAATCACACCACAGTAATTGAAACAGATGTGATTCTCAGGAATGAGGAATAGAAATGGGCATGAGGCTGTGGACTATGAGGAACAGGCCTTTAGGTTTTAAGGTCATGGGAAAGAATCTAGACAACATAAGCCATAAAAAGCCGTCATGGTCCATTGTAGAATTACCATACTTGGCCTTGAATTTGAAATCAGGAGGAAACACATGTACCCTTTGCTCCAGTGACTACTGCATTAATTAGTTAGGGTAAACTTGAGGTCATCAAGGATAGAGAGTTAAAGTGGCCTCAGAAAGAAAAGGTAAAAATAGAAAAATAGGAATTTATATATGATTTAGGAATAAGTAGTATTACAAGGAGAATGTATGATGCTATGGAATTGCTAGGAGTAAGAAACAAAGATTAGAGAATTAAAAGATGATGTAGTAGCATATAAAAGCTTAGAATTTTGTTCAATTAGTATTTTGAAGAACTGGAGATGATAATACCTGGAAAGATATTAGAGAGCTAACACTTTACATACATAAATTTCAAAAGTTTGTTTCGAATCATTTTAATTTCAGTAATCTGTCATTCTTTTGTTCTTACATGAAAATAGTTACTAAAGACTGGTGTCTCTTGTACCAGGAAACCACAAGAGCTGTGCCCATCTAACTGTGAAGAATAGGCTGTGTAAACCTATAAGGAAGTTTTTGCTGTGTATTTAGTTTCTGCCCTGAGGATAAGGCCTTGGGACTATTGATCCATGATTAACAGAATTTATGTAAATTTCAGGATCTTTGAAGATTATTAGCAATGATCAAAGCCTTGATGATGTAGCTTTAGTAAATAAAAGGCTGCATCCTGTATCTCTGGTCAGAAAGAAGAAAAAAATAATGAAAATCTTCAGGAAATAGAGAGAGTAGAACTGACATCTTGCATCTACTTCTGACTGACTAGTTATTGAATCAGTTCTGCTCCTATTCCAGCCTTTCTCAAGTCCTTCTTTAAGCTGAGCCTGGACCTTGGCAAGTGAGGTTTTTGAAATTTATTTATGTTTTTTGAAATTTATTTTAAGTACACTCATATTTATTTTTCTTTCCCAAGTAGTTTTATTTTCCTTAATGGTAATGGCATGTTAAAAGTTATCTCATAGCATAAGCTGGGTCCCAATCCTGTCACTGTTTGCTTATGGTTTCGAGAACAGAATATCTGGAAGTAGGTTCAGGATATTCAAACTTTACTCATAACTGAGGGTAAAGCAGGGCTTCTAACAGGAAGGAGGTAATATTTATGAAAACTCTCAGTTTAAGCAGGAGAGTGTCCTTCTCTTTCTTGGAAACTCTTTGAGCCCATGTCAAATCCTACCCACCACCCTAACATGCATAAGCATTCTAGCTATTCACTATGATGCCCTTCCCTCAAATACTGTTATAGAAACAGATCCATCTTTGTCCTGACAAACCATCCAGATCTCTGCAAGACAGGTAAGAGCAAGCTAAAAGATGAGGAGATGTAGAGATGTGTTCATCTCGCACACAAAGGAGAAGGTGTCTGTGTTCTTGGATAATGTAGCACTTGGTGACTTGGGCTGTCTAAGAAGATCTCAGCGGAATGAAAACCACATAGATATCTATGTCACTTTTGGATCATAGGAGAAAGACACAATAAGTGTCACTAGAGAGTTAATCAAGGAAGGGGAGGGATGGTACCTCTTAAATGTCCTCTCTAACCACACTACTTGGAGTGACTCTGATTGTTCCTCCATCACAGACAAGATGTTTCCTCACGTGGTCCTCCCCTTCCTGTGCTGTATGCTGCTCTCCTACCTGATGCTCCTATCTCAGGTGCAAGGTAAGACATTTTTGCCTGTAGCACTAAGATCTCTGTGGGTGTTTAGAGTCAAAGAGCACAGGAAAGTCTCATGTAATAGGTAACTAGGAGGAACATCCATACAAAAAAACTGGATGCAATTTCCCCACCATCCTGCCTTCCTCCAGGTGTTTGATTGTTGAAGATTTCATAGTGGTCTGTCACCAGTGAAATGACAGGATTTCTCATTTTTTACAGGATGGGATAATTTATGCTGCTAGGATTAAAAGGGAAAATGGAATGGCTAATAATGAACTCTATAGGGTAAGAAAGATGGACAACTGAGGTTAAGCCTCTCTGCCCAAAATTGGTGTAGTCATGGGCTATTGTATTGGAAAGAAGAGAAAAATGATGCTGCACCATTTACTATGTTCATCATAAAAGATATTTTAAAGACTACATGAAGGCTCAATATTTATTTTCTTTCAAAAGATAAACTACAAATGTATCCCCTATTTTGAAATACTTCTTAATCTTATGTTTGATCTCACCCCAGTGCTCTGTTTATTTTACTCTACCCCAGCTCTCGATTCCCAGGTGAATATGCACTCCCAATACAATACTTGTCCCCAAGGCTCCTGGGCTTTCAGCTCCAACTGCTATGCCTTGTTTCAGATACCACAGACCTGGTTTGATGCAGAAGTAAGTGCTGGGAAGGAGAAGGTATATGTGGATCATGGGTGATTGATAGATTCCATTCTCCCTAGTTTCTTATGTCTGAAACAAGTCCCGGACTTTTAAGATGACCTGTTCTTGTACCTACCTATGCCTTCCACTGACATCTAAATCTCCTTTTCATTTTGATACTCAAATAGCTGGCCTGCCAGAAGAGGCACGAAGGACACCTCACATCTGTGCTCAATGGAGGTGAAGCTTCATTCCTGTCCTCCATGGTGAAGAGCACAGGGAAAAGCTACCAATATATTTGGATTGGGCTCCATGACCTCAGTTTGGTATGGTACCTTATTCTCTGTTTCCTCTCAATGCTATTGTCATCTATGCCTCCACAAAGTGAACCCTGAAAGACAGAGGTCAGAACCCACATGACATCTAGACCAGGTAAACCATCAGGAGCAGTTGTAGAGCTGACCTCTAAGAAGGTCTTAGACTTCAGATGAAGTTCCTGTGTTTATTAATGGCTTTTACAGAGGTCTATATGAGGATTTGGAATCATTCTCATTCGGTTTCAGGGAGCATGCACACAACCAATCAAGAGGCACAGAATAAAGAGGCAATCTATATTTTCTCTTAATAGAATAGCCATGCTCATTTCATTTTAAAGTAAATCGCTGATTTATATTTTGAATAAATTTCTGAGGGTTCTAATTCCATCAGTAGTTTCTGTGTTTATAAATAGACATGAAGACAAGAATAATTTCTATTGGTGTGCTGTTGAAAGCTGTATATGATCACCCAAGTACTGGGAGGCTGGCAGGGAATGCAGGGTTTCACTGATGGTTGTACACATGCAGAATTTTGGACCCTTCCTTTCATCTGCATACCTCCTCACTAGCGTGCAGAACCCAATGGATGTGGATGGGAGTGGAGTAACAATGATGTGATGAATTACTTTAACTGGGAGAGGAATCCATGTACTGCCTTAGACCGTAGTTTCTGTGGCAGCTTGTCAGGAGATTCTGGTAAGAAAGAGAAGAGCCACATTGCCTAAATGCATGCCCTTCTTCTCACATTCCTGGGTAGCTCTGAGCTAGAAAATGGTGTGCGTTCTTGCTCATCTTCTTTCTTGGCTTCCTGGGTATCTCTTTCTACTAGATTCTAACATTGGTTAACATGAAGAAGTGACTTTCAAATTGGGGCCATACATTGAGGTATTTCTTCTTTAAGGTTCCTAAGATTCAGAGTTATCTATTATTTAACCTCTTTTTCTTCCCAGGATTTCTAAAATGGAGAGATATTCCATGTGATATGAAGTTGCCCTATGTCTGCAAATTTACGGATTAAACTTATGAGACAGCAAACAGTCCAAATTTGTCCTGAAGAGAATCATGGACAAGGGACAAAATGTGAAGACTCACCTAGAAAAAACATGTTCTATCTATAGTCCATGTTAGAGCCCTAGTCTGCTCTTTCCAGGCCTTTATTTTGTCCTTTTTGTAAAGATTCACCCTGATTCTCAGAAAGCAAAATAAACTTTCTGTCATACTTTGAGTTTTTGTGTTCTATTAATAATATTATTATTGTCTGTGAATGCATGTGAGCATATCTGAGTGTAACAGAATGCTTACGGAGATCTAACTTTTGAGACAGGAACTCTCTTATTTTCGCCACGAACAAAACCTAGAAGCATCAAAGAAATTTTCTTGTCTCCTCTTCATTCTTCCATTGGAGTACTGAATTTGTTGATGGCATAATCCACCTAGCATCCACCTGATTTTAAGTAAGTTCCCTGCAGGCAAATCAAGTCAGTGTTTCTGGTTTAAGAAACAAAATTGTGACCCACCAAGCCAGTGTGCTAGCACTGTGCATAATTTTTAATTGAAGTCTTTTTCATACAACATATTTTGATCATACTTTACCAGGGTATTCTTACAGGTATAAAAACACAGGCTGTTCAAATCTGTGCTGGTTCAACATACAGTTAGAATAATGGAAATAAGCACAACTATGAAAGAAACTCTTGTCAAAAAATTTCAAATCATATTTCATGTACAGCCATCAGGGCATATTATAAAATGTTCTTGATAGCTCAGGTAAATATCATAATCATCAGAGCAAGACTCAGATGTGGCAGAATTTGTGGATCACAGTATAACCTAGGGTATTTGATTATGTTTGTGCTGAGAAGTATATACAATAGGGCTAACTAGAGTCATCCAGTACTCACCTGCTTCTGTACAAGGCAGAATTGAGATGAGTCCTCCTTGTTGAGAGTGGAATTTACCAGTAGACAGAATGACAGTTAGAAAATTATAGACTTCATTCCAGTGAACCTTAGGAGGAAACATTGTCCAAGAACTAAGCAGATAGCATCAAGGAAGAGTGAAATGAAGGACTTAGTCTTCCTTTAATGGTTAGTTGTGTTGCTAATATGCCACAGTGTGGAATCAAGTGTGAAGAGAGTCTCTATGAGGAATTGGATACCTCAGCTTGGCCTGTGGGAGTATCTATGGGAGATTGTCTTGCTAGTTAACTGATATATTAAGACCCAGCCCATTTCAGTTGGCATCACTCCTTAAGCAAGTGCACCTGAACTTTTAAGCTGAGCACAATCCAGGAGGCAAGTCAGCAGGGACATATTCATTTCTTTCTGTACTTGACAACTAGCTGTCTCAAGTTATTGCTACTTATGACTTCATCCCAGTGTTGAACTCTAGCTAGGAACATAAGCTGAAACAAGTCTCTTCTCACCACTGCTGCATTTTTTTTCAGAATATTTTATTACACAAATAGGAATGTTACTAGAACTCTGGCTAAAGGTGAAACAGGGACAGCTACTGTGAGCCTGTGCTTCCCAGGAAAGGGCAAATTCAGAAACAGTCTAAGGACTATGAAGGTAATCTGACACTAGGCAACATCTTTGCCCTCACCTACAAATTCATAGGGTGTTGAACTGGGAGACAGCTTAAGAAGGGGTGACATTATCTGAATTCAGAGCTCCTGGGTTGAATGCTATGATCAGATCTGATCAGATCACTGCACTGATATAGAGGGTAGCTTCTTCAGAGTCATTTTGACCAGGGAAAGATAGACACAAATCAACCAGGAATTGTACATGGGGAAGATGCAAATTACAATTTGCAAGAGAATAGAAAGTGTTTCCTCTAAGACTAACAGTCAGGTAGTCTAATTCTCCTGGTATAAAGGACTGATTACTGTAACTTAATTTCAGATTGTAGCCAAATGTAGAAATATCAGGATCACTAAGAACCTGATCCTTGTCTTGTGATTTGGTGAAATCTCTGACTTTGGAACATGCAGCAAAGCTGTCTTTTATGATACCTGCCCTGGGGGTGTTAAACACAAAACATGAAGAGAATCTATAAGAGAATCTATAGGATATTTCATATTTACAGTAGCTCCTTGAATTTCTTGTGTGGCTGCACCTTTGATGGTCCAGTCAGCATAGGATGAACTCTATCATTATTATAACCTTTTTATTTCTTCACTTCTTTACATTTCTCCTGACAAAATTTTTTTTCCATTGAAATTTTGAGATTCTTTTTCTGGTTTTAAGAAGGTTCAAAACTGGGCTGGAGAGATGGCTCAGCAGTTAAGAGCACTGACTGCTCTTTGAAAGATCCTGAGTTCAATTCCCAGCAAACACATGGTGGCTCACAACCATCTGCAATGGGATCTGCTGCCCTCTTCTGGTCTGTACTTGCCATATATATGTATAATAAATAAATAAAATCTAAAAAGAAGGTTCAAAACTCTATCTATGCCCTCATGGTATTTACATGGAGGTAATTGTTTAAACAATAATTTATAACGGGTTGATTGTTCAAGTAGATTGAATTTTGCTAAAAGTTATGCTTCAAAGATGATATTTGTGGAGAATGGCTTAAGTAACATCAGATTCTATGTAACCCAACATGAAGGGCATGTACTGAAAATCAATGTGAAGTGAGGGCAATGCATTCATCTGTTCACGTTATCTTTCACAATCCCTGTGCACAAATTCATCATAATATGCCAGTAGATGCATCATTAGACAGTGTTTCATAGAACAATGGTTAGAACTGGGATTTCTCTTAGCACTTTCTAGTGGATCCTTTAGTAACTACTATTCATGACTTCATGCCTTCTCGTAAAAATGGAGCATAATATCACAAGGTGTTGACTACATCTTATTATTGTTCTCTGCATCCTTAGGCCACAGTCCCCAGAGAATGTACTTATGGAAGACCAGCAGAGATGAGATGAAAAATTAGTGTGGGAGTGTGGGAAGGACATGCTCTTTCTGGGTGAGCCAACATACATGCTTCTTTGTCTATGTGAGCGTCAGAATATTTTCAGGTAGTTGAAATCAGAACTTCCGTAATCCTTTAATTTGAAGACCTAGGAAAATATTGTGTCACAGTAATAATCTCTCCACTTCTGATAACCTGCAAAGAGACAAGAGGTGAAGGGAATGTGTCTGGTATATTTGTGATTGTAAAGAAAGGACAACCCAGTCATCTGCTCTGGACTTAGACATCTCTTCTGCACGATCATCATTTTTGCATCGTCAAGGGGAGGAGACACAGAAGGAACCATAAGAAATGGCTGATCACTAGTCTATACTGTATTTGTCAGCTCAGGGCTGTACCCTGGAAATCAAACTGGATGTGGGGAAATAGGTTTAATTAGAGAAGGCTTTTCTCTATCTAATCTGAGGCCTGAGACAAAGCTGCACAGCAGCTGCAGTCTGCAGACACAGGTGCTTCCTCTCCCAGTTATAGTAGGTCAGAGGTCAGAGCTGCTCCGCCTCCATCCAGTTTCATTGGACATTGTCCCCTGTAAGTGGAAAGCAGTGTGCAGCAAAGGTTTGTTAACACTCTGCCTGACATCTTCACTGAATCCCCCGATTCCCTGCCCAGTCTCCCCAAACTTGTTATGATCATACATAGTTGCTTTGGGGTAGAATAATATTCGAGAATCTCTCAATCCTATTTACAAACTACAGAAACTATGGGTTGAAATTAGGGTTACTGAAATGTATCACTTCTTCATAAGCACAACTAGTGCTTCATATGAGAGTTCTTCAGAAATGTGTGGACAAAATCTGTTAAGAAATGTCCAACTTTTCCTTGTCCAAAATTTCCTGACAATTGTATGTGCAGACTCCCTGAGGCTGATAAAAAAAGTCATCCAATGTCACAATAAGAATTTAGCAAAAGTCAAAAAACAGGCATATGAACTTTGTGTGAAGTCACCCTCTCATTCTGTTCTTCATGTGGCTGGACTGCCAGAAGCATTTCTCAGGACACCTTATATTTCTGCTGAGTTATGGTGATATTATCTTTGTGTCCTCCCTGGTGAAAAAACAGTTTAACCACCTCCCCAGACATCTGGATTGGACTCCATGGTCTCTCACATATGTGATCCTATGTTTACATTACTATAAAACGGTAGCTACTTTGGGAGGTATTGTGTACATTTCACTCAACTATACAATAGAGACTGAAACCCGGCACTCTCTCTTGACCCACAAGTACTTTCTTATATTTCTTCCAACTCTGCCTGTTGACATTTACTTCTGCATTAGTCCAGGTCTATGGTTTCAGAATCAGTAAACAGCATTAGGAGTCATAGGCTTGTGATTCTTGGGGGCAGCTGATGCTTAAAGAAGGCAGTTCCTTCTGGAATTTTTCACCTAGTTTAGAGGTGGATATAATTAGTGATGGAGTGAATAGGAGAGTGGAGTGTAGAGAAGGCAGCCAACGTAAAAAATGATTCTGAAGCCTTATTTGAAATGATGACTGTAATACTGAGTGCTCATTCTTAGTACTTTCCTAGTTGTTGATTTTGTCTATGTGTGTTGGGGGGTATATGTGCTGGGCTATACATGTGTATGTGGACATGATGCTAGAGATAATTTTCTGGTCTGTATTTTTATTGTACTTTTAAAAAGGGGTTTCTCACTGGCTTAGCCCTGTTTAAGATTTTGCTAGATTGGGCTTCCAGTGATCTCCATAGAAATTCCTCTCCTCTCTTCCCCAGCATTTGGATTAAGACCATCTACCACCATGTCAAGTTTAATTTAAATGAGTTCTAGGCATTTAACTTGGCTTCTCATGCTTGCTTAGTACTTAACTGGCTGAAATATCATAAACCCAATATTAGGTTCTTAATTTAACAAGACATTTTAGGGTCTGGTGAGATGGCTCAGTGATTAAGAGCACTGACTGCTCTTCCATAGGTCATGAGTTCAAATTCCAGCAACCACATGGTGTCTTACAACCATATGTAATGAGATCTGTTGCCCTCTTATGCGGTATCTGAAGACAGCTACAGTGTATTTACATATAATAAGTAAATAAAATACCTTTGAGCTGGAGCAAGTGGGGCCGGAGCAAGAGGGAGAAGGGAAGGGGAAAAAATCAAAACAAAACAAACAACAACACCAAAACACAAGACATTTTTTTTTCTCTTCTTCCACCTATGCCCAGCAGGGCCCTCCACTTTTACATATTCAGCTGAAGCCCTGGATCCCCCCCTAAGTGCTCCCAGGCTGGTGGTTTAGACCCTGGGAGCTGTGGTTGGTTGGTATTGTTGCTAGCTCCTTCAGTCTTCACTCTAACTCCTCTATTGAGAACCCCATGATCAGTTCAATGGCTAGTTGTGAGCATCTGCCTCTGAATATGTCTGACTCTTGAAGGCCTCTGAGGAGATATCCATATCAGGCTCTTATCAGCATGCACTTCCTGTCACAAGACATTTTAATGTGGAGAAACATGACTTACTTATTTATTTATTTATTTATTTATTTATTTATTTATTTATTTTTACCCTGTCTGCAAAGTCATTTATTCTCCCTTCTTTGGGATAACAGATGGTGGGCTTTATCATCTTTCCTCTATCTCCTTTTTTAGAGTTATTACTGACATTTAAGCTTTCCCTTTTCAACCTTTCAGCATAAGTAGAGTTTGGTGAAAACATAGGGAAACTTTTATTCTATAATAATGAAGCACTGTGGTATGTCCCCCCTTTTCCAATGATCCAGAGGAAGAAAGGATGTAGAAGATATTTTCTGTGTGGATATTCCTTACACCTACTACACGAGACTCTCCAGAGTCCTTATTTCTCCTTGTATCTTAACATTCGTGGGGTATCCAGTGCTACACAGAGAACAACTTTACCTTGTACCCAGGAAAGCATCAGACAAGACAGCACTATCCAGGACATGCTATGGAGGGTCATGCAAGGCGTGATGATATGTATGAGGTAGAAGGAATAGGCCACTGAAGAGAGTCTTGTCAGAGGTGGCATAAAAAGAGATCACAACCACTTTCATTTCTATTTATGTGGCTCTGCAAAGAATATATAATTTGGGTCTAATTACCCTGTTTTCTCTGGTTCCAGAGCAAAATGGAAGGGAGATTGACCCAGTCTGTTTGTGTCAGTCAACAGATTCTAGCAAGAGAGAGAGTGAGGATGGAGGGGCAAGAGATGCGAAGAATGGAGACAAAACAGAGAGTCTGATCAAGTCTCCTCTTTCTTGAAAGGAAATCTTGGGTATTTATATACTTTACCATGTGCCTTGCCCTCGTGGACAAGCAGGGGAACTGAAGGCACTTGGCTGCATGCCTTGCAGCGTGGATACCACATGTGCCTTTCAGCTGGGGGCACTAAATAGCAAAACAAGATATGTGAGAAAAACAAGATGTTTATCAGAGTGTGCTCAGCTGTTGTAGGCTGTTGAAAACAAGCCTCTGGTCAGAGTATATGACCTGAGATGCCTCCAAAGATGATAGCCACTTTCTGCTAGGAGTCAGCTACCAACAGGACATGTTCATCCTTCAGCTCCTAATTCTTCTGAGTTTGAGAGATTTACCTTGTGAGGTCAGAGACAGTTCTACATCTCCTACTGCAGTGGGGGAGGCAAATACCTGTCAGCCTTTCATTATTTTTTAGTTCCGTTTACCTGTATTTACAGAGATCTGTGATGGTTTGACAGGACAAAGGTGACTTCACTTTTAAAACAAGATTTGAGGGAGAGCCATCCTAGTGAATAAGTGACAGCTCATGTGACTCTCTGTGGTGGGTAGTGCTTGGCAAGAGTTACAGGAGTTTTCCAGTAATAATAGAGGACTACTCTTGGCTGAAGAGTGAGAACTGCCACATATGGTGTTCCTTTCCTGTTAATCCCACTCTGACCTCAGATGCTGCTCATGCTTGAAAACTGCTACCTCTATCAGCTATCAAGTTCTGGGAAACTTAAGTCATCACAGGCAATCTCGTGATACTGATTATGAAGTTTTATAAAGATAATCACAGTTTATAAACATTACAATGTTCAGTTTTTAAAGAAATGTGTATAGTTGTAGAAAACCAAGAATGAATCTTCAGTTGTATTGAAGAACTAACTGACTTCTGTAGGTATATGTGCAGTTTTGTGCCTAGCTAATAAAATTTTAGGTACATCATAGGTGTTGAATTTTGTGTGTTAAAACTTGATTTGTGGAGTGGTGGAGAACAAATATATAATTCAAAGTAGAATTACCAATTCAATGGCTGCTTCAACATTTTTGTTAGCAGGACATAAAGTCTAAAGCAACCAGTGAGATAACTTTGTTGTCATGATTTAAAAAAAAACTGAATAGATTTGCTTCTTAGCTTCCTTTATGTATGAACCCTAAGAAAGAGTTTTCTGGTGCTCTGAATTATACTTCAGAATAGCATACTTGGTTTAGTCAGAGGTGGCTATTCTCTGTTTTACCTGAGACTTAAGAAAAAGTCACACAGTAGCCAAGTTCTGCAGCAATAGAGGGGTTATTTTTCCATCAGAGCTGTTCAGATTCCATGATTCACTTCCAATGATTACATATTCATAGGGATTCCAAGTGTCTCAGAAATGATTCTGGTTTTCTTCTTTTAAAATTTTGTTCCTTAAAATATGCCCATGCATGTGTCTGTATGTATATGTATGTGAATATGTGTGTCATTTTGAGATAATATACATGTTAATTTACATTCTTAAGAAGACTTGAAAGAGGGCATTACACCTTCTGGAGCTGGTAATAGATGGTTATTATCTGCCTGATTTGGATGCTGGAAACCAAAGCAGTCCTCTGGAAGAATACTATGTGCTATTACTTGTGGACCCATCTCTTTAGCCTCCTAATTTCTAGAGTATATATACTAAATGTTATTAGCTGTTTTCACTGTGCTGACATTTGTATCTATAGAGGCAAAGAAAGGATGGCTAAAACATAAATTCTTTAGTTTTAATTGGGTCAGTATCATCAGCTGTGTCAATTACATCTATGCATTTGCACTTGGTAGAAGATATTATTTTTCTAAATGCCCTTGAACTTGATGACTCCATGGAATAAATAACTGAAGTAAAGAACTGGATTTAAAAACATCTTTTCACAGTCTGTGTGTCTGTGTGGTAAGTTTAAAAATTGAAACACAGTGGTTACAACGTCTAAGACAAAATGTTGTTCAGTTGTGTTATAAGTCATGATTTTCATGGATTTAAAAAATTGAGCGAAGAAACTTCAATGATTTATCTATAGAAATATGATCAGATGTTCCAATGTAATGATGGTTGTGAAGTAGAAAATATTTTAAATGTCTCCATCTTACAATCAATTGCAGAGTTTCAAACATAACCTGTACCAGAGGACAGAGCATGTTTGCTAATAGGAAATATGCTCTTGTGTGGTAGTTCCGGGTCTTTGCCAGGAAATGTCCTGCAATTTTTGCTGGGAAGCTATCTGAATGTAAGCCAAGCACTACCCATTACCCTGACTTACATAAGCATTCGGTTATTCACTTTGATGCTCCTCCTTCAAACTCTATCATAAAAGGGTTTGTCCTGGCAAACCATCTCAGATCTTAGCATGACAGGTAAAGGAATCATCCCTCACATTATCGAGAGGGGGGAGAGAGAGAGAGAGAGAGAGAGAGAGAGAGAGAGAGAGAGAGAGAGA